ACACACACACACACACATAGACGCATATTGCCTCTACATGGCATGCATTGCCTGCGTGCAGCATGGATTCTTTTCCTCCTCTCCTGTCTGTTTTTTTTCTTTAGAATGATCCGCACGTCTGGTCCAGCCCCCGTTGCTGGCCAGAAGCAACAAGGCTTGCACCACAGCACTCCAATCGCAGTTCCAGTTTCACACATTTATACACATAAAACATGCTTTTCCCCCAATGTATGTGGCACTACATGAAAAAAGAGCTACAACGCAAGAGAGTGCCTCACAAACACGCTTAAACAAGTGCAATCTTTACAGGTGACCCGTCATCCCTTTTTTTGCCTTGATTTTGCCACATGACTCCTCATGCTTTACCTCGGTGAGTGCGACAACGAATTACATGAAATAAGATATGAAGTAGCGCAGCCACACGCAGACACACTCACTCACAGAAAAGAAAAAACAAAACCGGAGGAGGGATATGGAGAGAACATAACAAAAGTGGTGACGTCATCCTTCTTTACCCTCTTTCTCTCCCCACTATATATATATGTATCAATTTCCCCTCTCTCTCTATCCAGTCGTACATATTCTCTGTCCACACCCTTCCCAGGAGCGTTCCCTACTTCGCCTCAGCTGTGCCATTAGGTGATGGAGCCTGACGCCGAGTCCCTCATGGAATCGTTGTTCATAAAATTATTGTCGCTGCTCCCAAACCCTGTCGATGACTCGTCTGGTCTACGCATCAGCATCTGCAGCCTCATCTGTTGCTCGCAGTTCCACAGCAGCGAGCGGGTCTCCTCTAGTTGCTGAATATGCCGCAGCGCACAGCGCACGGCGAGGTGCTCAAGAATGTTCTGACGCGGTACCCCAAAGGCACTGACGAAGCGGCGGAATATGTTGCTGCGCTCCGGCCCTGCCAGCGGCTTCAGCAGAAGTTTGAACGAGGAATGGAAATAGAAGACGATCGTGCGAACCGAGTCGTAACTGAGGTCAAGCACCACAGACTGCTGCTCAAACACGGCCCGGAGGTGCATGTCCAATGATGTGGGGATCTTCGGATGCAGCAACGCTTCCGTGAGAAAGTCGCCATCGTGCGGCCTCTTGTCGCGCAACTTGGGTGAAGTTACCGTGAGGCCGGCGCCCAATTCGAAATTCTTCGAACCCCTTCTCTCCTCTTCACCACATCGCCTCCCTCCGGAGAGACTGCGTTCGGCACTTGAGGCGTTCTGCCCCTGCTTCTGCCGCCCGCTACTGCGCGACTTTGAGCTGTTTTCGTCGCTCATGATGCGAACCGTGAGGCTCGCGAGTGGCGTCCTGGGCGGCGTGGAAGTGCCGGCCCCCTCTTGCAGCGGCTGTAGGGAGTCGGTGGGCAGCAGCTCCACCAACGAGCTGGGGACGTTAATTTGGTTGGGTCCCTTCAAGCCGCGCAGGGCATCCGACGCACGGCGGAGGGCGCCGCCGGACTCCACCGCCCCCATGCTCGAGTCGGCGGGCAGCACCTCGTTCACCTCCGCGCTCGTCATGCTGTTGTTGGAGTGGTAGTGCCCGCCGCGCGCCAGCAACTCGGCGCCGATCGACAGTGGGTTGCCTTCCAACGTCCCCTCCATGCTGGACGCTACCATCTGGACACTCTGCCGCTTTCGCCCACGCGCCAACGTGGATGCCTCACGCAGCCGCTTGTTCTGCGGGTCAGTGATGGTGAAGAGGTCCTGTCGCTCCGCCACGCCGCGGATGAAGACGCTACCGAGCGGGTGGACCTGTGTGTCGCGCATGTTCACCGCCGCATCACGTGCGGCACGGCTGATCGACACCTCGTTCGGCGCCGCGAACACCCACATTCGCCCACCGTATACCACGTCAGGGCCCTCGTAGCGCATGCTACCACTGACGGTCTCCACACGAACGGTGGCGTCCGTGCACCAGTGCACTGTGCACGCGATGAGCAGCCGTCCATCCTCCCCAAGGATGTGCCGCAGCGGACCATCAATAGGCTGCGCCTGTAGTTCCTCCAGAATGTCGAAGCAAAGCTGCACAGCGGCGTCCACTGTGCGCGTGATGATTGTGGTGGTGTATGGGTGCATCTGTATACCCCTGTAGGCGCGATGGCGGACGATCTCCCGCCACTGCACCTCAGCAAGTCGATCCGACACCTGCACCATGTGGTCTGGTGCGAGCTCCCACAGCAGCTCGCCACTACAGGGGCCTATGATGGCCATTGCAAACGGCGCCATCTTCGGCGCGTGGTCTCTCCCGTCGTACTCACGTAAGCACGTCAGTACAACAGACGCACCAATGAGGAACACAAAGATGGAGCTTATCACGGCAGAAACAACAATAACGACGGTTACCGATCGTGATAGTAACGGCTCATGGTAGGTGGTGCGCATGCAAAGATACCATCGGATGCGGCTTCGCAGTACTGTACGATTTGTCCCAGTCATGATGAAGTGTTGCAGCTCCTCCTGTGTGGGATTGCTCTTCACTGAATATCGGATGGGAAAAATCTTATTTGTTGCACGTTCTGTCGTGTAAATAAGATAATCAAGTTCCTTCTCCCGCGTTTTTTCATCAATCCTATTGGCATCCATCATTGCGTCCACATCCTGAACGATGAAGACGAATCCCCAAAAATTGTTCCTCGATCCATGACTTATGTTCGTGACGTTGTAGACGGGATTGCGCACAACCAGCTGCCACCCCGCATCGATAGGGGGAATGCCATGGTACAGAGGGCCAAGCACGGCAATTTGCGCGGTGTCAATCGATTCAAGCACTGGCGGATCTCCCGTGTCGTTGTCGTACGCGAGGAAGTCATAATAATACAACGTACTGTTTTGGGGCACAGCTTGCAGCGACACACCACCCGGCGCGAGGATGAATGTTGCAACAAACTTCGTTGTGCTGTTCAGCATTTCGGCTACACCGTAGAAGCGGTCAAAGGACTGGTTCTCTACACGCTCCTCCACAGTGCCATTGAAGGGCGGTACAGATTTCATGGATCCAAGCACAAAACCCTCGATGGCGTACGCGCTGGAGAGGGCGTCAATGAGGTTATTTCGAAACACGGAGGCCCACCAATCGGCTTCGGTGATCTCCGTTTTCCACCGCT